GTCAACAGAACCCTTAAAAACGAACACCTACCACATTAGGCCATTTCCTTTCATTTATGGGTTTTCCACAGTGAATGACTGTGTTGCTTTGTTGAAACAGGGCTGTTTTTTTCTTTTCCTGATGTTTTAACCTTTTTTTTTTTTTCCAAATATCAGGTATTAAAAATTAAACAGAAAAACCCTTAAAAATGCAGACAAAATAATTTGCACCAAACCTTTTTAATTGTTGTTTTTGACCTGTCAGGTTGCTTCTCTAGAATTTTGAATGGAATATAGCATACATTTTTTATTCTGCTTTACTGTTCCAGGATCCCAATCTTGGGTCTCCTGAGATACAATTAGTTATTAATTAGATTAATTAGATTAATGTCATCTAGCTAGGTAAAAGATGACTCCTGTTTTTGAAAGTCTCTACTTATAGCAAAATATAATGAACAAACACCTCCATAAAAAAGCAGGCTTACATGTTTTTTGCAGTATCTGTGCAGATGAACCTCGTGTGCCTCAGGGTTTACCCATGGGTACATCCACAGTGCTGCACACAGGCCTTTAGGACAGGCTTATGGCTAAAATCCACAGCCTATCCATTCTCCTAGAAAAGATGTTTTTACCCATGAAACAGAACACGGCATGATACAAAACCTACTTATTGCAGTGTTTCTGAGTTCTGGGCCTTCAGGTACATCACTTCCCTTTCTGCAGATGCTATTCCTGAACCCTTCCTTGCAAACATGATCTAGGAAGACTTTGCTTGTCTCAAAGACGGATGGAATTTGGAGAAGAGATGGTCATGCTATGACTTCAGAGGGGCCAGGATGGCGGCCTGCTGTTGAGGAAGGTTGCAACAGTATTGATACAAACCAAAATATCATCACTCATCACCAAATGGCAGTCCATGTGGCAAACCATGTGGCATCCTGAGACCTTCAGAGATGGAATGACATTTTAGGGAGAATATGCCAGAATGTTTAATATTAACATAAAGATGACTATAATCTGTAAAGTCTTTTTTTTTTTTTCTCTCCAAAAAAGACCACAGGTACACAGAAGTGAAAGTATCTTTATTCATCAAGTTTAAGACAAGTCACCATCCAACTAGCTCTTGACCCTGAATGTGGGAGACCAAGATAAGCAGAAATATTTAGGGGCCTGATTCTCATTACTTTTGGTAAAATCAAGATTTCAGACTCCCTTCTTTGGCCATGAAGGCAAGCAAGCATCTGTTTCTTCCCTCTCTAGCTTAGTTAAGTTTCTTTATTTTTCTGAAAAGATGTGATCATTCTTAAATAAATAAACAAATAAATAAAGCTAGTTAACCTAATTAGGGGGCTAGTGTGCCAGCCTTCTCAAAAATAAGTGATTAGGAAAGCATCCCTTTCTCCATGTTATGTAAGACATTTGGAATCAATTAAATACTCAATTCTAATTTCTCAGATCAGTAACCAGCTGTAATAGGCTACTAATGGTAGTTGAGGAGGTGGGTAAAAAGTATAGATGCTGGTAGTCATTCTCTGTTATGAGAAATAGTTGTACCATTCTGAGAGAGATCAAAAAGAAACAACTCAGCTGTGTAGGCCTTCTGGATGTTTTTGCATGTCTATCACCTTCTGCATGATTAGTTTGGAAAAATGTTATGTGAAAAAGGGAACAGGCCTTCTATTTTAAAATTATTTGTATGATTTTTGCAAGTTATTTATTTTCTTTATGGCCTTAAGTGGAAAAAAATCAAGTGTGCTTGAAGTGGGAATTATCCACATTTTTTTAACAGAAGTACAGTCACACCACACATTTGCAGGGCCATGGCTTTGAACCCAGTGCAGCATTCACAGAGCTTAGGCAAACCAGGCAACCACTGAAGAAAGAGAGGACAGTTTAAATGCTTCTGTTTTTATTGCATCATGGAAAAAAATGATCATTTATCTCATTAAGATGGAGAATTTTTACTGCAGGGCTCATGCTGGGTTTATAAGTTTGTCTGCTGTTTTGCCTGCAGTAACTGAAAGAGCGCTGTTGTCCCTTTGCCTAGTGATAGATGTTGGGTTTTGTGGCAAGGTAAGGAAGGTAAATTGGTGACAGACTCAAAGTGTTTTTTTAAACATACGTAAGTTTCTCTTTACTTAAACAGATGTGGCATATAAAACAAATACATGCAACTGCAATTTAGTTCACTGGCAGAAACCTCGGCTATAATAACACCATGTGTGCAAGCAGGGCTAGCTTGTAGTTATGGTTTCGGACTGAGAATCAAAAAAGTATAGAAAGAATTTCTTTCTCAAACTCTAACCATGGTCTAACCATGAGGCAAGTTGCTTACGGGGACACTTTCAAAAGCACCATAACCAAAGATCAGTGAATTACTCTGAGCACTTCTGAAATATTCCCATTAACAAACTTTGTTTTCTTCATCTGCTATACACAAATGTTTCCTTCCTTCAGCTGCGCCTGCATGTTTTCTGGCTGCAAGCAGACAAGGAATATGTCTCTCTGGATGCAACTTTAAGCAACTGAGCTCAATGCTGAGATCACGACCAACAGATCTGCCCATGAGCCCTATGTCTCATGACATGAAGTCAATCTGGGCAGCAGGTGACACTCTCAGGCTAACAATTAACTCTCACCCATCCTTCAACTCCTCAACAAATCGCTGACAGCTCTTCTTGTTGATCTTTTATATAAGGGATTAAATTGCACCTGCACACATCAGCATACACACACACAGAGGTTTTAAAATAACCCTTTTAGAACACAGTTAGGCTACAGCATTTTTACCAGAGACAAATTTGATCAATGCGAAACAGGGCCACACAGAAGCACTTCAGTTCGTTGCCTAGATGGGCCTAAGGCTCCAATGGGGAAAGTCCCGAGCACTGCCGGCAAACAGACAATTCAGCCACCCTCTGACCCTCCGAGCCGCAGCTATGGAAGTGAAGGTACGTTCTGGTTTTGGAAGAGTCACCTCTGAACATGCAAGTTAATCACAGATCTCAAAATCATCTTAATGTAGCCGTGGCTTCACTGCGTACCTATAATGTAGTCATCAGCAATGTGACAAAACCCTCTATTTAACTGCAAAAGATGCCGCTTTGCCTTTCCCTGAACTTTACACACTCTCCCTGGTTATGGTCCAACTTTCACTCCTTTTTCAGTTTACAGTCTTCATTCTTAATTGAAAACCAGTTTACTCGAAGATGGTGGTGCTCATGTGGTGGCAATAGTAGACGGAGGTATCTGGAATGAGACTGTTTTGGCTTTGCTACACCAATAGCCCTGGATCAAATAGGTTACAGAACAGTAACACAGAGAGCTTGCTGCTCTCTGTGTTGGAAGAGTGAAAATCTCTCCCTCAATGCTGAGATCAAGCCCAACAGCTTTGGATGAAGATGTGAAATGTAACAATACAGGTCAAAGCGCAGAACCTTCCCCAAAGATGTCATTAGCCTCCCTCTAAAGCTACGTAAGAGAGAACTTGGCTCAACACTGAGACTGCGCTTTGAGACAACACTCGCATCTCTGCCCCACGCCTTACAGGGAGCAGTACAGCTGACATGCTTCAAAGTCCACCCAGTTTCCTACTCTGCCTTGTGATTTCCTGCAGTGAAAGTAGGATCTTCCTCCAATACCCAAGCCGCTCACCAGAGCCTTGCCTTGCTAGCAACGGGGAAGGATGGATGATTACTAATCCGCTGTGCTGAAGTGCTGATGAGTCTGCATAAACAATCAGAGGAAAAAATCTCAGGAACAGGAGTGCTAAGTGAAGTTTGCAACTAGTAATTATAAGCAGATGATAAGAATCTATGGCATACATCATTTACTAATATCACTCGAGTATTTTGTGTTTTCATTAATTAGCCTTAAACATTTTATATTTATTCTATTAGCCCTAAATTAACATAATGTTTTATCAATTCAGAGCAAAACAAGAGGTCATAAATATTAATAGGAATCCATTAATTACTCAAAATCAAAAAGAATACCTTGCAGTTCTATGTAATATTCATGTATTTACCTGGCCCCATTTTAACCCTGCTAGGTCAACATAGCACAGGCATGCTAAACTGGCAGAGGGCAACCATTTTAGTTGTGAAACTACACTACTGCGTCAAGAGTGCTCGTTTCTGAATTGTATTTTCCCCAGCGAAAGAATGAATACCGTTTAGTTCTTTTTTAATATATTTTTTATTTTTATTAAAGAGTATCATTAAGCTTTATTAGACAGACTTATCTCATTACTGAGTTAAAGTGCCATCAGTAAAATCAAACTCATCTTGAAAAGCATATTGTCTTCGGTCTCGTTAGGGTTGAGATCTTTTTGCAAACTCTGCATGAACACAACTCAACCTACAAAGTGCTTCCGAGAGCATAGTACATTGGTCAGCTCAGTTTCAGGGAAACTGAAGGTGTCTGTGCATAACAAGAAACAGCAAGTTTGGCACACACAAAAAACAAGCAAACAAACAAGCAAACAAACAAAAAAAAAAGACACAGCTTGCACAAAATGGCAATGACATTAGTCAAAAAGCTGACTTGTGCTTCACAGATGAGCTACATACAGCTCAAGAGTTCTTGTTCACTGAACTATTATCACTGATGAGAAATCTTTCATTGGCACTCAGAGGCCTAAATGATTACAGTGCAAGACACCAGTAAAACTGTTTACTCTATTTCTCATTGTGATGGCTCAAAAAGACAACAATCCTATTACTAATATTAGGATAAACTTTCATAGTCTTTTTACAGAAGTGTTTTATTTACCATCAGTACCATTGTCCAACCTGCCTACAAGCAGCGGGACATGATAAATAAGCATATACATTCAAAACACGGTTGTGTTTAATTTTTATTTGTAAAACATGAGTTTCCAAAGATTTAATCAGAAGTCATACTCACACCCTCAACTCTGAGATTCTTTTCAATGCTTGTCTGTTAAGCACAGATTACTATTTATTTCCAAACTCCAGCATAAATCCGGCATAAATCTGCTCCAGCATTTATGCTCCAGCATAAATCACTCCTCTAAGAACTAGGAGCCAATAACACGTATTCCCACACCATTTAAGGAGAGGTTTACACCATTGCAAACACATATTGCATAAGTTATCTGTTTTTTTTTTATTATTATTATTAGCAGATAGTCTCTGGCACTTATTTCAGGAGTCCAACCATCACTTCACTGATATCCCACAATTTCCTTGCAACCAAGTCATCCATGGCTTTGGGCAGGAGTTCCTCCTCTTTGCAGTCCCCAAAATATTTCCCTGAGACACCTTCTACATCAGGAGAAGAGGCCAAATAGATAGAAGTCTGGGCTCCTTCCAGAGGTGTTTTGAAGAAAGCCCACGACACCAAATTGAATAGGGGTTTTGCCAGCAAAGGGATATTCACATGTCTGCCTAGGTTTGTTCTGACAATCCCAGGATGAAGCGAATTGACAGTGACTCCTGTCCCTTCTAGCCGACGGGCTAGCTCCCTTGCAAATAATATGTTGGCCAGTTTACTCCGACTGTAACAAAAGCTTTTATTGTAACTTATCTCACTGTTCAAGTCTTCAAAGTTGATTTCTCCATATTTGTAAAGCTTTGAGGATACTACCACGATCCTGCTCGGAGCAGAATTTTTGAGGAGGCCCAGAAGAAGATTGGTGAGCAGGAAGTGACCCAAGTGGTTTACACCAAATTGCATCTCAAAACCATCCTCTGTCTTCATGTATGGACACTGGAATATCCCTGCATTATTAATCAGAACATCCAGCCTTGGCTCTTCCTTCAAATAGGAAAGAAAAAAAATCAATTCAGTTTTATAGTAAGTGCCATACAAAACATATCATCATGCTTAATCATTTCATGTATCAGTGTTAGAAGTAACTTCACTTGTAGTCATCTAAATTGCAATTTCCTGATATTCTTGTAATGCACTACTGAAAAAAAAGAAAAAAAAAGAAAAAAGAAATAGAGTAAATAACCACTAAACTGGACATAAACTTCTGGTGCTTTTAATATGCGCAGAACAAAATCAACTATTTATCCAAGAACAACTTTTCATATAGCAACTCAATGAAAACTTCTTTGTGATGCATTTGTTTTCCTCTAAAAAGTAATACGCTTATATTACAAAAGCTGCTGCGTTTATGCTTTATCATAATTCAGATTACAATAAAACCTTCATTCTACCTTACAAATACTCCACAAATACAGAAAATAAACATTAGCCCAAAGAACGGCCCTCGCTTTTGAGAAACTCAAAATGAAGGACTGGTTTTAAGCTTGGTTTCCCATGACTTTGTGTCTCATAGCTTGATTAGCTGGAAGTGATGAGAACCCCAACTCTCGTGTCAAAAACACAGCTGAACTCATCCAGCAGCATTGCTATCAAAAGAATTCTCCATATCTCCATCCTGCTTAACTTTAAATTCTCACAAGATCCACAAAAACCTGATGCATTTGAATATTTCTATCTGCAAAATTCAGCTGGCAGTGGCCAACAGATTCAGAGTGCGTGGGGAAGAGGCAGGGCTGATGTAACTGTGAGCAGCGCATCCACGTGAGCCTTTCCACCTCTGGAGAGAGCTGAGCTGTAACACCCATTTAAAACAATAACATTGATTTAAAATAAAATAAAATGAATGGAGGAAAGGCAAAACATTTCTACCATGTATATATATATATATATGTGTGTGTGTGTGTGCGTGTGTATAAAACAAACCACATGCTTTTCCTTTTCAGTACTAGCGCATTCCAAGCCCCTAGTAACGTATGTCATGCTTCCCCATACTACTTCATACCTCGGTTAATGCACCAGCATCCTCCTTTCATATTGTGCACAACTCATCAAAACCCTAACCCCACTCAAGCCAGATGCCAGCAGGAGGGGCAAGCCCGACCAAAGGCAGAATCTGACGAATAACAAAACCACCACGCTTTATACCACAGGGGCAGGCCCAAGGCATGAAGCAGAGCGCGCTCCCGTTACCCTGCACGGGTACATAATCATGTAAGATACAAATATATACGTATACTTGAACACCGGTTAATCAACCAGATGCACTAACGGCCACAGGCAGGGGCCGTTGCCGCGGCCGTTGCGGCCGTTGCCGCGGCGCGGGCCGGACCTGCAGGACGCGGTGGCAGAAGGCGCGCACGGAGCGCAGCGAGGCCAGGTCGAGCTCACGCACGAGCAGCT